AGTTCAGTTCTTGTAGATATTTTGCCGCCTTAACCAGCTTTCTCCATTCCTGCTTATCTTGGCTATTTTATTTCCTTTTATCTGCATGCAACTTTATTGCATCTTTGTTGATTTCATCTATCCATCTGGTCATGGTCTTCCATCTGGTCTCTTGCCTACTATTGGAGTATTCATTATTGTATAGAGGCTTCCTGATGGATTTCTCCGAGCTACTTGCCGCGCCCATCTAAACCTCCTAGCCTACATATCATGAGCTATTGATATTCCAGTTTCAGTAAGCAGTTTTATATTGATATTTCTCCTCCATGCTTTAGTACTCTGCTCCGGTTATCGTGCGGAGGATTTTTCTCTCTAATCTTTTAATAATTCTTTCTAGTCCAGAAGAAATCGTTTAGGTTTAGCTCGCAATGGCATTCTTAAGAATCACCAATAAAGAAAATTATCGAAAAGTAGATTCTGAGTGAAATTGAAAAAAAAAAAAAAAAGATAAAACAGATTAGTAATCTATCTGTTGAAGTTTATGTATAATACATATTACTACTTAAAATAACGTATATCATTCTTTGTTAATATAATAGTAATATAATAGAAGAGAGGGTATTCAATATAATTTAAATAAATAAAGTTCTAATGGTTGCCTCAAATATAAAACAAAAATGTATGGTCAAAACCCTATTATGAGGAATTAAAAATGAAAATAATATTCTAGAGGGAAAATACTTTTACAAGACAAAAGGTTTTATGCTTTAAACTTAAGAAAAAATGCTCGTTTACATGAGTATTTATGGACATCAGGAATATTGCTTTGACCATGAAATCTCTTCTGTATCTAAGTTTTAAAATCGGAAAAGCACTCTTTGTTATATCTTGTAAAATTATCCATGTATATTTTAACACACTAAGGCTGCGATTCTAAATGAACCGAAGGATTGGATTAACTAAATTATTTGATAGGGGTGATTAAGATTTCAAGGAACTCACCCCAAAAAATAAATAAATGAGTTCATCACCATAGCTACAGTCAACTGTCAAAACTGTAAGGGATATATTTAAATGAAATAAAGAGGGGTACAGTGTTCTTGAATTCTCAAAAATATTCAAGAGTACAATTGATGGTTTCTGAAAGAACAATAAATAGGCGTAGACTTCGATTTAAAAAAGAAAAGAAAAAATGGTGTCTGTTTTTATTATGTGCAAAAATTTAACATAGTTATTGTGAAACGAACAAATATAATATTTAATATTGAAAACTAATTTGTTTATATATTTGTATGGATTTTTATTTATTTATTTTTTGTTTTACTTATTGCATATATTTGAAAATATCTAAGCAAAAAAGATAATTGAATATATATCGTATTTCTTAAGATTAAACATGGGAGGTGGAGAGAGGCAGCCTTTATAACATAAAAAGTGTAAAATATGTTAGATTTCTTAGTTAGTTCTCAATCTCAAATAAAAATACAGTATGTTTTTCACAGTTCGACTAGTTTGTCGCTGAAAATGTGATAAAAATATCACGTAAAAATCGACGGGTTATTGAATCATAAAATCCCAGGACATATTGATATATATTATTATCTTTGAATATAAATGACAAATTAAATAAAAGTAACATTTAGGTATCAATTAGTAACAGTTACATATCAATACTAGGTCCTAGTCTAGTCGACTTTTCTTAATCGATTTTAATTGGATGAGCTGTAGCTCCCTGAAGTCGGAGCCTACGGAATAATACGACTGTATATCTACAGCCACACTGCAAAAGCCTCTTGGTACCATTTAATTAACAAGTGCAATTTAGAGCTTTTCTTGTGAATGTTGGCTTTGAATATATCAGCGGTTTATTGCAAAAAGCCATGAAGTAAGTGACATTTCATAACCTTAAATTAATAAGAATTTTGATGAATTTTTCCTTTGTTAAATCAGAAAAGTGTGCGCTTTTTGTAACTACATTTGCTAAATAAAAAGGTTGGTATTATTTTAGTGCTCCTAGTGTGCACTATTTTTTACCAATAAATAAGTTCGAAATTCACAAAAACCTTTTAAAAGTAAATACAAAAATGTACTTTGTGACTTATTGTTATAAGCCGAAGATATTCAGAAATGTAAACATCAAACGTTAATTAAGCAAAATATATTTTTTTAAATAATACAAGTATGTATTAATTTCATCTGATGAATGTTAATGTTTCCACTTACTTGCTCGGCTTCTACAGTTTGGCTGTCGATATAGAATTGTTACAGAGAATTTTTGTGTATTATAAAACGGGGAAACGTTACACCTTGCAAAGATAATATTACACCATAACTAGAATCACTTCTTTGTTTCTAGCTTTCAGTTTTAAAGAGAAGCCATTCATAGGTCAATAATTAGATTACTTCTTGCTCACGTCAACAAAGTTATACACTTGATAAAATAATTATAGAATTAAATCGACAAGAATTAATGCATGAACCATTTATAATATTAATTTAATTAATAATAAAGATAATCATTAAATCAGTTTGTGGCAATACTGTACAAGTATAGCTCTACGTTGAGGAATGGGCCAAGATCACATGATCACTCAGTTAATATAATTCCGAGAATAGCATAAGATTGACAAGTTCACTGTATAACCTCCCTTTATTTATATCGGGATTATCAACTTTGTCAAACTCCCAACGAGTCTTTTTCAGCTGATGTCAAGGTATTACCTCTTTGGCTTTATCAGATGGTTCGGTATCTCCCGTCTACTTTCGGAAATACTCGGTCATTTTCGGGACTCCATTTACAGTGTGATCATGAGATCTTGTGTCATCCATAAAGTTTATATATAGTGGCTCACAATCATAACGATACACATGACTTTTGATAGCAAATTATTTAATAAATAAATAGTTCGATTTATATTACATTGAAATCAAATTGTAATAAATAAACATCCTAGTAATATGTTGTATTCTCATGTCGTTTTTCTTGTTCTTATTTTATATTATGTCTTACGTTCTGTTTCTTCGTGTGGGAGTATATGTAAAAAATCTTTACTTTATAGTGAATAAATACGTTTACGTAAACATTTTGAGAAGAAGCGTGAAAGAAATAGCGGAAAATGTAGGGCTAAAAAATAAATATAGTTTTTATCAGGATAATGATCCCAAACACTTTGCCATGTTAGTTAAGGAATGAAAACTATTTTATAACCACTTTAAAGTTATAAAAAACTCACCACAGTTACTAGATCATAATGAGAGATAACACCTATGAGCAAAATTAGAGGTAGAAATTAGAGAACACGAAATTTCTAGCAAATAAATACTTTATAAAACATTTCCTTCAAGAGTAGAACAGTCTAAACCCAAAATTCATTAAAAAAAATGGTCGACTCCATTGCAAACAGACTGAAAGAAATGGCAGAAAATGATGGCTTGCTTCCAAGGTATTCAACTAAATTAATATAAAAACTAAATTAGTATTAAAAGTTAATAGAAAGTGAGGTAAAAGCATTTTGACCGTGAGTTAAAATTATTCAGTTTTTCGTTTGTTAATTTTTTTAAATAATAATTTTTGAATATTTCAATTTTATTGAGTTTTTACATATTTCAATACAGATTATAAGTAAATGTGTTGAAGAGTTTCTGGTTTTATTTATCTACTATAACCATCTAAGTATTTTTTTTTCCGATCAATTTCACTGTGAACCTTTGTATAGGTTTGTTTATATTGTTCATTTTAGAAATTAATCCTAATTTTTCAATAAACCCGCATTATCAATTATAAACTTTCTGCGGACAACATAACAGTCTATAAGGAAACTGATCGAGTGATATAGAGAAATTAAATTTTAGAGAAAATATGTAATTTACAACTGACGTGAATCAATTATATAAAATGAACATTATGAAGTTAATTTAAATATTTTACATAATAAATATAATCATGAAAATGGTGGTTTGTCATGCGGTCACTCACGAAATACAAAGAAAAGTAAAATCACATTGCTTTAATGTGTCAAGACATTTCGCTTACAGTTGCAGGGAACCAGTAGTAAGCAGATAGGAAATAAGAATCATTGACTGAAGATGTAAGAATGTGGGTTTAAATAATTGTTTGTGTAAATTTTAAAACTTTGTTAATAAATATAACTAGTGTACGGTTTTGTGTGTTATCGCATATTTTATTTAGGTGTAAAATCTTCAAGCCCAGTTATCTATCCTTTTCACATGTCCTGCGACAAGGCTCAGAAGGAACTGACGGAAGATTTCCAACACAGTTTCAGACAATGGAAGATTCGCATGAAGAGTTGTAAGAATAGAGGAGCGATACATATTTATGGAGGATAGTAAATATAGATAGATAGATAGATAGAAAAAAAAACTTTATTCTGGGGTTAGGTCTCTTTAGAATAACAATAATGTACAAAATAACAGAATATTACTGGCCTAAACGTTTGAAACAATAAATAAAATTGATAAAATAAAATAAAAAGTAAAGAAAACCTTAGGTGCACAAGCTGTATACAATACAGATAAAACTATGTACAGAGTATTTAAAATTATGAACAAAACAATTAAAACTATGAACGAATCACTTGAACTATGAACAAAACTATATATAAGGGTTGAACAACATAAACATACACTTTGAGAAATGAAGAACGAAAAAGAGATAGAATGAGATCATTAAAAAATAAATAAAATTACTTGAATATATATATATATATATATATTTATATAAACAGTTAATTATAATTGAATACAAAAAAAATGTATGAAATCAAAGATCAATTAAGAGGCTATAAATCCAATCTAAGAATAACTATGTTTTTCATATATTTTATTTTAATATTTTAAATGGAACAAAAACTATGATATTTGAATGTACACTGTTTGCACATTTTAGGGTTTGTATTACACGTTTTTCGTTTGTTTTTTTACATCACGATAATCCGTTCTCTATTCATGATAATGTTATAATGAATCCATGACCTCAACTAAATATGAAACAAAAACCTTACCTCGGACATGCGCTCTGAAAGGATTTTTCAAATTCGGGTTACCCGCACCGCAGAGCAGTTTGCGTCCGGCATGTAACCATTTCATCTTCATTTTAGTACAGGAAATTTGTCAGTAACACTACAGCCCCATGTAATTCATAACCTCACTACTTAAAATCACTTCTGCAGAAACTGTCATGGCGAATGTAGCATATGATTCCAGTCTCGTTTCGAAATATACTGAAATCAAAAGTCAGTAATTCCTTTTCTTTTGATTGATTCAAATGAAAAGGCATTATATCCCTTATCTCTTATGTGACAAAGTTTCCGCTTTTCTATTTATTAATTTGTTTTACTTTTCTCGCTTTCTTTCTGCACGTTTGATCAGCTGGAAGAGATAGTTATTTGCGAAAACATTAAATAAAATACGTAAGTTTTGTTTTGTCTCTGTCCTTGATCTTTCTGCTACTACCCTCATCAACATTATCTTATGCTAAATTAAGGGATGGGAGATAGTCGATAGTAATATCGATATATCGATAGTTTAAAACTATCGATATCCCTATCGATAGTCTTCTTGCCTATCGATAGTTCGCATCTTCCTTTAGAGATAAACTAGCTGATGTACCCATCGTTGACGGGTATATAGTTAAAATTTGAGCATCTTTTTTTTAAATGAATTTTGTATTATTGGATCCAAATTCAATTTCATAAAATTGAGTCGGGAGAGAGGAGATGGGTTGTTTTGAAATTTTTATGGCGGGGCTTATGGAAGTCAAGGTTTCATAACAGTCATAACAAAAACTTAGTTATTTGGCTATTTGTTTAGGTACCACACAACTAAACCGACCACCACCGATCCATTAAAATTTGTTAAGTGTTTAATTTTCATTTATGATTAAGCGAGGAGATTATTAATCAAACAGAGTTGTCCGGACATCCAGACAGACAAAAATTTTTTTAAAACTTGATTTGGTGACTATAATGTATAGAAAGGGCTATAATAATAATCATCATGAAATAGGTTGATTCTATTCAATCTACATACAAAACCTTTATTTTATTAATATAGATGTTCTTTAACCTATAAGCATATGTTTATTATCAACATTAACTGAGATCTTTAGACAAATTACTCAAGAATTCATATTTTGTTTTCATTTAAAGCCTATATTTTAAGTCAAGCAAACCTTGATATAATCTCAAAATTTCAAAAGTATACAATTAGCCATTGCTGAGCTTACCCCTGACAACATTTCGTTTCAATGCGGACATACAGACAGACAAAAAAATTTTTAAAAGTGGATTTGGTGTCTGCAATCTATGAAACGGAAAGACATAATAAAACGGGTTGATTCTTTTCAATGTACAGACAATATCTTTATTTTATTTATATAGATTATTTTCAAATTTTAACATAAAGGGATAATTTTAGTGACACGTCTTCATACTTCTACCCACTTATTGATGTACGATACACAATGATAATATATAATGTAAAAGTGAAATTTTTGGTTATGGAAAACTGTTCCAAAACCTTACATTAAGAAAATAAATGGAAAAAAGTATGTAGGCATGCTTGAAACTATTCTTATCATTATGTAAAATTAAAATAAAAATAAACGATAAGCCTTCAAGGTGAAAAATAATACAATCTCGAATTGTCTTGCCCACAATACTTCGTTATTAAATTAAATTTAGAAAATTAGAAACTTGTAAATTCGAAGACACAAGCATATCTCTCCTCCTATTTTTACGAAATAGTTAAAACTATACTGTATGTCGTCGAGGATGTTTCTTGTTTCAATTGGACATTCGCGGAAATTAATGTAATATTTTTTTCTATATAATGTATTATCCCGTCAATAATTTTTTTAATTGTTTATTTAATAATTTTTATTAGTGCTTTAACATAAATCTTTAGGAATGTATCCAATATAAATGTTAATTATTCTTAAGAAGCTTATGTAGAATTTTAAAGAAAATAACTAAATAATACAGAGAAAATAAATCATCCTTAGGTTTAAGGTGGGAAGTTACTAAACTATCGATAATATCGATGATTTTTCATCGACAGTGTCCAACTATCGATATTAGAAAACTATCGACTATCTCCCATCCCTAGCTAAATTACATCAGAAGCCACGATGAAAAGTTTACGATCTCTTAACCATTCGAGGTTACATTGCTTGGTTATAGCAAGGAGGTTATATTTCTAACAGCTGAACTATTTGAATCCTTAAAAATGTCCTAACGCCAAACGCACAAAATGAATACAAGTAAAAATTGGTATAATATCAAATATAATTGTCTCTTTGTGAATATTATATTACGACAAAATCAAATCCATTATAAAATTAAATGTTTGATGCCTTTACGTTCCTCAAAATTTCTAATAACTATTGATAAAATTACGAAAAGGAAGTGATTATAGAGGGTTTTTGTGCATAACAATTCATAATAAAAAATGCGAACTCGATAAATACGTACATTTTTATTAAAAGAATGCATGAGTGGACGCTGTGATGGCCGTTTGTGTTAAGGCAGCATTTAAGTTATCATTGGTAGTCCGTGGTACAGACCCCTTTTTATCAAATCACCTAAATAACCTGGTTTGGCCTAAATAACCTCGTAATTTTGACAGTTTCGGGGTGTAGATCACGCCAAATGGCTCAATATTTTCGAAGGCCACCTTTTTCCCCAACTTTGTGTGGAAGTTATCTAACGATTCAAGTGGAAAAGAAATGTGTATTTACGAGTTTTTAGTCTCTAAATACAATATTTGTAGGTAACGATGAGATGAATTTTATATAGGAAGTTTCAGCCGTATGTTAATAATTTGCTAAAAAAGGGTCTGTACTACGGACTATGGTGGGTGTTATTCGAATCAATGTGTATCTAGATAATAAATATTGGTTCATACGTTATTCAAATGTACAGTCTTATTAAAATTTATAGTGGTTGGAGATCATCTATTATCTATTTATTTTATTTTATTTTATTTTATTTTATTTTCCTCCCTACCCTGCCTTTAAGACAATACGGGAGTTTGCAGCAGTGACTTGATACACATTGTATAACAAATCACTGTTGCATGTTTATCTATTTACATTTTTAAATTGCTGTGCACACAGCCTGCTTGATAATTTTGTCACTTAGTTATTGTTCTCCATCTTCTTCTCCTGTCCTAATTAGCGGCCTTCCAGGTACTGCTTCTTCACGCCTTCCCAGGGAGAAGTGGGTTGGGCCCACAGTTTTTTTCCAGCCGCATACGAAACTTTTAAAGTGCGGGTAGTTTTGTTCAGACATTAGTTGGGGTAATTGTCCTTCTGTAAGAACGAAAAGCCCTGTATCCCTCATTAATTTGGCCCTCAGTGCCTCATAGCTGGTGCAGGCTACAAGGATGTGCTCAGCGGTTTCAGGTACTCCACAAGTGGGGCATAAGGGGTCGATATTTTTACCGTGTTTAAAAAGTTTTGCTCTGAAACCCCCATGCCCCGTGAGGATCTGTGAGACCCAGTAGTCCGGGAGGACCCATTTCTTTTCTAAGCGCGATTTAATGGTGGGAAAGAATTTTCTTAGTGTGGACCCGTTTGGGGTTGTCACCCATCGCCGATTCCATTGTTCCAATGTATCCTCCCGGAGGATCATCTTCCATCTTCTGGGGTCATCACAAATCCTCTCCCGAATGTTTGCTGGTAAATCCGCCAAGTCATCCCTCTTAATGTTGTACCGATAAAGGTCTTCCCGCAGAAGGAGGTCGAGAGGAATACCTCCTCCTAAGACCTGCACCGCCTCATGGGACACAGTTCTGTATGACCTGGTTACTCTAAGCAGGGCCATCCGCTGGATTGTTGCCAACTTGCGCTTCTGACGGTACGAGAGATTCCGGTTCCATGCGGGGGACGCGTATCTCAGGATACCAACAACTACTCCTTTATAAATGGACATAGTTGCTGGATATCTAAGGCCCCAAAAGGCCCCCCCTATGCGACTGAGACCATTAAGGGCTAAGGTTATCCTATTCCTTAAGTAATCCAAGTGAGGCGTCACGTTGAATTTTTTCCCAATCCTAATTCCAAGATAGGTGACTACCTCACTTGGACATATTCTGGAACCTTGTATCACCAAGGTTATGGGGTGTGCCCTATCGGTCGAACCTCTCAAGAGGATGGCCTGAGTCTTGGAACCCGCCATCCTTAACTTCTTTTTCTCGCACCATTCTTCTACAAGGTTGGCACAACGTTCAGCTTCATATTTTAATCTGGCCCTGCTATTCGAGGCCACTACAACAGCCAGGTCATCTACATATGCAGTGGCGGGGAACCGCTCCTGTTCTAGCACTCCCAGCAACTCGTCAAAGACCAGTTTCCATAGGGCAGGGCCAAGGACAGAGCCCTGTGGACAGCCCCTTTCCACTGTATCTTCTACTTCATAGAAGCTACCTTTAATCTTCAATGTCCTATCGTGGAGATAGCTTCTGATCAAGCCATACAAGTTGCTGGGGGCTTCATGCCTTTGCAACTGCTGGAGTACGCTCGGCCACCAGACGCTATCGAAGGCGGATGATATGTCAAACAGGAGGAGCATAACATACTTCTCCGCCTTCTCTTCAACATCACAGCGCACTCTCAGCAGGGCATCTGCGGTTCCCCTGCCTTTAGAGGATCCGTACTGCCGTGGATGGCTCGCTCTCGAGAAGACTGGCCGTAGGCTGGTGAGTATCAGGTTTTCTAACACCTTGCTCATGACTGGGAGGAGACATATAGGTCTATAAGATTTGGCTAATTGCTTATCTTTGTCTCCTCCTTTGTAAATGAGCTTGACGTTAGCGATTTTCCAGATTCTTGGGAAGTATTCCCTGTCTAGGCAATCATTATAAATAGCCAGCAATCTTTCCTCTATATAGGGAATACTGTTCTTGAAAATTGACGCGTCAATGGTGTCTAAACCGGGGGCACGACCAATCTTTTGCTTGTCCACGGCAGTGCGAAGATCCCATATGTCCCATGGTGGGCACAGGTCCGTGCCGGGAGGGTATACCGTAGTGCGTCTTACGAACTCCTCCTCTTCATTATCTTGAGATGGATCATCCCTGGGGTAAGTCTCTGTAATAAACATCTTCGCCGATTCTTCTGGAGTTTTTGCCTGAGTACCGTCATACTTTATCGCTGCGATTACTTGCATTGGAGTCAATTTACCCAAGGCTACTTTGTACGGGATACCCCAGGGGTTTTTAGATGATTCCTCAACGATGAATTCATCCCAAGACCTACGTTTATGTAGACGCACCTCGTTTCGGTATACCCTGGCTTTAGACCTGTACTCGTCACGAAGAGTAGTGCGCCTCTCATCGCAACTACACCGCTGGTACGAACGCCGGGCCTTGTAGAGCTCTCTCTTCATGGTGGTTAAAGCCGGCGTCCACCATGGGACAGGTTTAGCTCTCGCCTTCCGGTGCTGGAGAGAGTCCTCAGCGGCATCACGGATGATGTCAGTGATTCTCGAAACCCTGTAATCCAGGTCATCAGTGTAATCCGTTTCCGCCACATCCCAGTCATCGTC